ATTGTTTCACTGAAGAAACTTCATTTTGCAAGACCAGCCAAAAAGAATGCTTAACTGCATACCTGCTCAGAATTAAGCCCCGTTGAGTTCAATGGGAGTTAAATCAAAACACGGGAGGGAGAGAAGCTGGGGTCTATAAGGAGAGAATCTTAAAGAAGCCTCTGTTGTAGTTTACATCTTAGTATGCCTGCATCTTAGTATGGTTTGCTAAAATGTGCAATAAGGAAAGCCCTCTGGTACTGAATACTGGGAGGTGGTGCGTTGATAACCCACTGTTTGAGTGCCTCAGCATATGTAGGAGTGAGTCACTGGGAGAAGCCAATATCCCTGTCCCTTTAGCCTGTGTCCAATTCAAAATATGGCTCCTGTTAAAAATTAATGGCCAAGCAGGAGCTTCTGGAATAGACTGTCCTGTCCCCTGATTAAGAGCTGGAACCTACAGCTTTGTTTCACAGCTCTCACTTTTCTAGTAACATATTCTTGCCACTGAACTAGGCTAATTTTGAGCCACTGACCTTGCTGTGAAAGGCTCCATATCTCATAAATTACCATTCCCCGTGAGCTATCTAGTAATAAGGAAAATGCTGAGGATAAAGAACATCTAAGATAAACAGCAGGCCATAAATAAGCAATAAAAATGACATACAGAATAGATTAGGTGAAGACATAAAGTAAACTCTGTGGGAAGGTTAATTGTTGTCTTTCCCTTCGCCTGGAGGCATTGAAAATAAACAAGAGGAGGAGACATGGAAGCATGGGCTGAGTCCAGCCAACACGAAGACAACGAGGCTTCTGCTTTGTGATTCAGTAGAGGCATTGCGCAAAGCATTAACAGTGAACAGTATAAAAGCTGATCTGGACATTTACTAGTCAGGCTTTTTTAGACTCCTGCTTCAGATCCATGACTATTCACTGTAGGTGAGATGTGCAAGTATCTACAAAACCTGATTTCATAGAAACTGTGTGAAGTTACCTCATGTTGGGAGAGGTACTTGTAACCTGGGGAGTTACCCCTATATCTGCATGTACGGGAGTTAACCCCATGTCTCAGCTGAGGCACCTTGTCCAAGAGCAGCCTCACTTGCAGTAACCCACAAGGTTACCAGTGCATGGACTACCATGGCTAAGTCATAAAATACAGTAATTATTTCTAAATTTGGATCTATAACTAAAAATTGCCATTTGCAAGCTGGTGCCCTCTTTAATCCTCTTTTTTGGTGATGAAGACAGCTATTTTGTAGCCACTCTACACCATCTTTCTACTTACATGAGAAAGGATTCAAAGAAGAAGTGTTTGGATTTCAGTCTTAGTAAATGTTTACTTTACCTGTAGTAAAGCGGGATAGCTGGGAAAGGTCTATTGAGAAAAGGCCTGAATGTTGCTGCAACTGAACAGTATGCTAACCAGGACATAAATATATGTTGCCCACTTCTGAGCTGTGCATCCACCTAGCAGATCAGTTCTCAAGTATCATAATCCGATCTATTAACATGGGCGAATGGTGATGGAATATTGTAAAGGCTGTTTGTTACTGAAATGTCCTTGAATACCATGAAGTATTGAGCGCCTAGTTAAGCTTCCCTTCCCTAGTAAAGTGCTCTTAATATCAGCCAGCTACCATATAACATGGTTTGCTGAACATTTAACTAATTCTTTTCTGATCTTTGGATAATTGTTGCATGACTGGTGGTGCCAGAGGATTAAAGTGCTGCCAGAACATGAATGTGTAGGGGAACACACTGAAGATTCATGTCCTCGTTGGCTAGATGCAGGAAATAAAAAATTAATGCACATAAATATTGATCGGTGCTGACATGGAAATCAATTTGTACACTTCCTTGCTAAATGGAATAGGAGCAATGTTCTATAGTTGTTTGGGAGGGAGTGTATGAATATGACATACAGAGGGGAGATTCAAGGTAAAACACTAAAGGGCCAAGGAAAACAAGTTTAATAGTCTGCATTGGATCCAAGTTATTCACACTTTAGTTAGTCCTGATTAAGTTTTCCTGTTAATTCCAATGGGATTACAGTGAGACTAAAGCATTAATAGCTTGGGTCTGGATCCAACCTTTTGTTTGTTTTAGGGTGTGTGTGTTGCTTCCTTACGATATGGAGAAGCCTGATAATAGCAGTAGCTTCCTCAGCTATACTAGTGAGCATAAAAACCTAACAACTTCTATCATCCCCATGCTTCAGGGCACAAAGAGATTGGGGTCAAGATGCAATGTTCCTCAGTATATTGTTCAGAGGCTAGGTGTACTGGAGGATATATATTTATATTCTATCTTCTTCTAAAACACTGGGAAAAGAACAAACCATTGTACAAGAGAAATTACTTCATTGTATTGTTGCCCTGTTTCATGGGATGCCCCCATGGGAATTCCTGGCATAAAAGGCCTATTATCTAATCCTTTCTGCATGTATAAATAGGATTTAGTCATAATGAAAGCTCCAAATGTAAGCCACCTCTCCTTGTGGTATGTGCTGCAGTGAAGAAATTTTTGGCAAAACGAAGACAAGGGGCTCTTTTTGCCAAAAAACAGCTTTGTTCCACTTAGTCTGGGTGCCAAATTAGGATACTATTCTCACCCGGATTTGCATTCACCCTGGACCAAGAAGATAGCTGCATTTCTGCAATGCTTTGATAGTTCCATGCCAGCCCATCCCCTGTAAGCATCGGACCCCACAATATGATATCAGGTGTGACCTCAAGCATATTACGAGGCTGGCCCAAGGTTTTCTGTTGCTAGAGGAATTAACATTTTGCCTGACAACTGTTGTTCCTTATCATATGCTGAGCAGTATACCAACAGGACATGAAATGATCAAGACTTAGCTAGAAACTGTCCTCCCAATGTTATTTTCATCTTAGTCACATTTTAATGGTTTCTTTTTACTGCACTGTCTAGCCCTGTTGGAGATCAGAAGGCTGTCAAGGTCCCCTGGAATGAGAATATTGCCCAGTCAATGAGTACTGTACACATTGCTGACAGGGTCATCTCTTGAGTTTGGACACCCTGCGTGGCTGCCTCACTCACCACTATGCTTGCGGTGGCTGTGACAAAACAGGCATATGAAAAAGGACAACATTCAATACAAAAGTAAGTGTGCGTAAGTTGATTGAAATCAATGAGCTTAAGCACCCATTGAATTGTGTCTATGAAGTTTAATGACTAAGCTTAATGACTAAACTTCATACAATTTGGTGCAGAATGAACTACTACCCATGCAGGATCTTCTTGATGTAAGCCCACTACATTTCTCTTGAGCCACCTCAGCCAACGGTGGGGGGCACACGGTGGGGGAGGAGAGTGGGGAAAGCCCCATTGCAGAAGTGGAAGTCCATGCTCAGGGCTTCCATTGATGGGGCTCATTAGGTACATCTCACCCATAGATTCTTGTGGCAGCTTAAAAATTAACTTTTTTTTTTTAATGGCCTGATCTTTCATGGACTTCCTCAGAGAATTTCTGGACAATTTTTTACTTACACCCCGGCAGAAAATGGAACTATGAATTCCTGTGGCAGGTTTCACACTTGACTTGTTTAAATCCCCCATCAGTCATGAAACCCACCAAGTAACCTTGAAAAAGTCATTATCTTTTAGCTTAACCTACCTCAGAAGACAGTAAGGCAATATAAAATAATACTAGACTATTCACGCACGCTGAAATGCTCCTTAGCATGTATTACTAATCATTAGATGTAAAATGTGAAAGTGACCAAACTCACAGTGCTGTTATCAGGATGAATGAAATTAAGACATTTTGCTGCTTGTCCTGCTCTTTAAAGATAAGGTGGACTACACAAGTTAGCAATACATATGTGTTACCTGTTCTTTGGATAGTGAGAAGTTTTTCTCCCTCTCATAACACTGGGAGGTCATTCAGTGAAGCTGTTTGGTGGTAGTTTGGGGACAGACAGAAGGGTTGCATAGTTAACTTATGAAATTTGCTGCCACAGAACATGTTGACCACTAGTCACTGAAAGGGGGTTAGACAAATTCATGGAGGATAAGGTAACCAATGGTGGCTGGTGCCCACTGGGACTGGCAAGGCAGGGAGACCAACAATAGGTGCAGAAACAGCCAATGACAAGCAGAGCTGTCTCCTGGCTAGTTGTAAATAGACAGGCAGGCAGGCAGGTGGGGCCTGGCTGATAGCAGGCTAATGTTGGTTGAGGCAGTGCCTTATTAGCTCTAAACCAACCTCCACTGCAATGGCTGCAAGTCATTATAACTGGTCTCTGCTACCTCCAGGACTAAAGGCAGTATGCCATTAAATTACCAGTTGTGGAGGAGCAATAGCAAGAGAGGCCTATTGCCTCCATGTTCTGTTTGTGGGCTTCCCAGGGAGCAGGATATTCTGATGCAGCAGGGTTCTTCTTATGCTCTCCTGCCTATCAAGTGAGTGAAGTGGGAAAGCCTCCCTCAAGCAAGACATGGACAGTGAGGCACAAGTGGGGAGGTTGACTGCATGTGATTGAGACAGGGTTAGGCTAACCTAGTGAGTGGATGGCATGGATGACGTTTACCTCACCTTTGGTTGCACCACTGCTGCTTACTAGATGGTAGAGGGTGTGGACAGGTGTGTGTCATGCAGTATGGTCTATCTCTGTAGATCATGGCATGGATATAAAATTGAAATAACTTAAATATGGCATGAGATTCTCCATCTTGAACCTTGCTTGACCCTTGGTCTCATCTCAGGATATATTTCACACCCTGTGGATGCAATATGGAGGCACCTATCACAGGCAAGAGATGTTTTTTGTTGGATGAGATGCCTGTGAGCCCAAGTCACAGAAATTAAATACCTGAAGGTGCAGCAGCAAACAACACCATCCCTAACCCTAATAATTACAGATTTTTGTTTATTTTATAAATGAAGTCACACAGTGCAAACAAGCAACATGCTGTATCATAGAATCACAGACTTGTAGAGTTAGAAGGGGCCATGGGGGTCATCTAGTCCAACCCCCTGTGATGCACGAACCTCTTGCCCAATGTGGGACTCAAACCCACAACCCTGAGATTAAGAGTCTTACGCTCTACCAATTGAGCTATGCCTCTACAGTTGAAAACTTGGTGAAAGATTTAGGCATTCTATATGGGACATTTTTGAATGCTGTGCAAATTCTAGACCATATATACACCACTCTAAAACTTTCTGATAAACTGAGATTTGGATATGAGATTCACATTACAGAATATATTAGTATTATGGGTTGTTGTTTTTAAGTTAGCTCTTGGCCATGTTCATTTATTTACATATTAACATTTTTATTTATTCTTTTTATGAGTTGTTGTCTGGGGTACTTACTGTAGAAGAGCAGGATATAAATGCTAAATAAATGAAGAACAATATATTATTCCATAACAGAGCAGTTTTGGCGCACAGAAAAAAGTGCTGTCCTAACAGAACAACAAAGATGTGCATTTGTAAAAACAAATCTCTGTTTAAATCACTCATAAGTGAAGTGAGGCACTCGAAGGAGCTCTTCAACATGAAAAACAGCGCATAGAAAGCGGGGGGGGGGGGGAATGTACAAACCAAAAAACAAAACCAATTTAGTCTCATTATATCTGAGCTGTAAGACATCTGTGATTTATGCTAGCAAAATCAGTCATGTTTATTGATTTCGCTGAGGTTATTAAAGAAGACGGGGATGTTGAAGCAGCAGCAGCAGCAGAAAGTTTAGTTAAACTTTGAATGTTTATGTGGGACTTCAAATAGGCTTTTGAATGGTGGCCGTTAACAAGCAGCCTGTGTGCGTGTGCACACATCTTGCACGTAAGCGCAGGACACGTAACTGGGAGCGCTGTTGCCCAATTGGTGCTCGCCCGTGTTTGTATGAAGAACAACATACCGGTACATTTGGTAGACAAGGAGTGAAACTGGATGAGATGCAGCCAACTCTGCAGAGGAAGTTCAAATGAAGAAAGCAAAGACATAATGACTTTTTTATATGGTTCAGTGGTATGCAATGTGCTGCACTCTAGACCATGGGTAGGCAAACTAAGGCCCGGGGGCTAGATCTGGCCCAATCAGCTTCTAAATCCAGCCTGCGGATGATCCGGGAATCAGCCTGTTTTTACATGAGTAGAATGTGTCCTTTTATTTAAAATGCATCTCTGGGTTATTTGTGGGGCATAGGAATTCGTTCTCCCCACCCCCAAAAAATATAGTCTGGCCCCCCACAAGGTCTGAGGGACAGTGGACTGGCCCCCTGCTGAAAAAGTTTGCCGACCCCTGCAGACACTGTGAACCTCAACCTGACCACAGGCCATACTGCCAGAGCCTGGAGGGAGTTGAAGTCCACAAAATCCAGAGGGCACCAACTTGCTGACCCGTATTATTTTTCATAATTACTATGCCAGTAGAAATGTATGAAACTCTCCTCATCTGATTTGGACATTTTCTTAAGAGCTACAAAGTATCAGTTATACCTGACCCATCTCATTGTTTCCTTGCCATCCTTCTGCTGCCCCATGTCTTTCTCACATCTGGTTTCTCTCTTCTTCCTACCCTTACAAGGTGCCTCCTCCCTTCATCCCTTCCATTTCTCGCAAATGCAGCTTCCATCAGCAGTGACCAAGAGGTATTTGAACTCAAGCTTTCCTGGAGCCAACCCTGCACCCAGGTGTTTGTGTGGAATATAGCACCCCATAGTTATTTATCTCTTTGACATCTGATGGGATGGTGTTCCACAGGGCCGGCACCTCCACTGAGAAGGCTCGCTGCCTGATTCCTTGTAACTTCACTTCTCACCGTGAGGGAACCACCAGAAGGTCCTCAGAGCTGGACCTCAGTGTATGGGTTGAAAGATGGAGGTGGAGAAGCTCCTTCAGGTATACAGGGCCAAGGCTGTTTAGGGCTAAATCAATGTTTTTTATTTCTCTGCCATGATTCCCAATGGGAGGGAAATAATGTGAGAAAAAATGGAGGACTGTGGCTTGTACCTCAGCTCTCACTTCCACCCTGCTGAAGGAGCTAGATAAGGTGAAACAACTGTCTTCGGATTCTGCCTTCCTCCTCCACATTGCTGTAGGATTGCATAGTAAAAGAAACTAAACCCTATGGCACTACGCCTGGAACTTTCACTGTTGCTGAGTGCTTAATAATACATTGTGTCCACATTGCAATGTAATGTGGCATCACAGGGTTGACCATTCCTTCACCACAGGATGTGCATCACACAGCAGGAAGAAAGTCTAACACATGTACATTTGAGTATGAGTACGACATTATTCTTTTCTGTCTCTTTTCAACACTGCATTTACTGTGCACATTAATAGGGTGATTGAAGAGCTCCTGCATTAAGTTATAGGAAATCTATTAGGATGTAGATGGCTTAGGCCATTTATTTCTCCCTCTTACCAGTTTCTAAGCCAAGGCACTGAATAGCTGTATATAAAAGAGATGTCAGAAAAGCCATAGTGCTTCAATTTGCAGCTGGTCCCTTAGTGCTAGAGGCGTTGATTCTTCTTGGCATTTGCTGATAAGCCAATTTCCCCCCTCTTAACTGGGTATGTTCAAAGTTATGAAGCATAGTGACCACATATCACCACGGTTTTTGAAGGCATCTCTAAGAAAGTATGGCACAAGATTCAAGGTCTCCTAAAATGTACACCTCAGTGGCAATTTGCTTTCACTTTCAAAAATATCCATTGAATAGGAAAACATGAAACAGACTTTTCCCCCTTATGTGTTCAGTTGTGTGTGTGTGTGTGTGTGTGTGTGTGTTTAACAGATTGTTGGACTTCACTCTGAGCTGAAATACCAGTTTATGCTTAAATTCAATGGAGAATGGGTCTAGTCACTCTTTCTCAACTATACCTCCTCACAGTGGATCTGCTCTTCCAATGCCAGCGGCTGATTAAAGGGACAGTGCAGGGTGAGAGTGAGGTCAGGGCAGCACTGGCACAACGCTCTGTCCTGCTCCATCCTAGCAAGTGACAGCAACCCTGGTATTGAGAAGGTGACTTCGTAGCACCATTCCACCATGCGGGCTGGTCCTGCCTCCTCACCCTTAACACGAGAATGAAGATAAATAAGAACAAAGGTGAATTGCTACTCTGAAATGTACAGAGATGGAATTTATAACATTCACCTATTTATTATTATTATTAACATTTGTATACCGCCCTATATCCACAGGTCTTAGGGTGGTTCCATGCACAGTTCCCACCTTTTTATCACTTTTTGAGGGTGGCTGATCTGGAGGTGGGGGGCAGAAATGACCAGAAGAGGTGGTTCCCATGCCACTTGCTCAAAAACTCAGGTGTGCTCATGGACCTAAAGGAGTTGGCAACGTCTAGGCTCATACTAGCTCTGGTCCATGGGGTCACGAAGAGTCAGACACGACTAAATGACTAAACAACAACAACAGGCTCATACTGAAGATCAAGCTCAAACAAGCTTTGGCTATTCTGCTCCATGGAAGTTGCCAAGCTCACCTTAGGACATCTGTGTTACCGTTTGACAGGTGTACCCTGCATTTGCAGTCTGTACTCATACTAAAAACCATGATCTAACTGGGTTATACATACCCCTATGGAATCCCACTAGTACCAACCTCCATGCAATTGCTGTGAATGGTAATTGGGCATCATGCATATGAAAGTCTGGAGCATTCATAAAACTTTGCTTCCATTTGACTGTTTGATTAGATCTTTAGTAGCACATAGAGCAATGGCTATAAACTTCCAGGTCATGGAGTAGCTAACTGGCTTACATTTAATCAAGAGGGATGATCCAGATGTGAGTTGTATTTATTGGTGTAATTCTCCAAAACGCTGTTCATGTCTCTGCATTTATCTTGCTCCTGCCGTGGACTGCGATCTATTTATTTGTTAGTCCTTAATGTGAAAATTTTACTATCAAACAAAAATATGTAGCAACTCTCTCTCTCTTTCCCTTGCTATCTAAATTAAATCTCGCTCCTTGCTTTCCCTTCTGCCTTCCCCCATCCTCCCCCTGCAACAAGCCTAAACCCCTCACACAATTCTGATTATGCATGCAGCTCCTAAAATCAAGCTGGGTTCCTTGCACAGCCTGAAACATAAGATCATAGTAAACATGAGATCAGAGTACTTGGAGAAAGAAAAGATCAGCAAAACGGGAGCTCGGTATTAATGTCAGGAAAATTCTCCTCCTATTTCAGAATTATTACATATAGTACCTTACGTATGTAATACCATGGCTCAGTAATTAAAGGCAGGATGATTTATGAAGCTGCAGTATGGGGAGAAGTTGTTCTCAAGCCTCACTGTACCAGATTCAATTGGAGTAGCTTGTTCCAGTGATGTGTCATCTCCCCCCCTTTTTTTTTTTTGGTGTGGTGGGAGGCGGAATAACTCTAATTCTCTGGTTTAAGTCTAATTGAATTTATTAACCCATGCCCAGCAGATGCTTCTGCAGACTCTGGCTAGTTTTGTTTTCTGCCTCACAACACAATCCTCTATGTATCTACTCAGCAATAAGTCCTACTGAGTTCAGCGGGCTTATTCGCAAGTGCATGGGTATAGGATTCCAGTCTTAAAGTGGTTTCCTGTTGGTTGCTAAACTAATCTCTGTATTTCCTCCTCATTTGAAGGCAACTTTGTCCTCCTTCCCCTTCACCTCTCATCCAAGCAGTTTATTTGCATATTAAGTATAATGTGGGAACTTGCAGATTGAAGCTGCAGCAATTTCCACTGTCAATTTGAGTGCCTTCCTCATCATAAATGTGGCTGCAGCTGAAATCTCAGAGTTCCCAAATTGAGGGCATATGTTATACTGTGAGCAGCAGACCACTCAGAAGAGGAAAGCCAAAAAAAAAACAAACACTGCAAAAATAGTTAGAGAATAGGCTCCAGAGCTGGCTGATATTTATTTTTTAAAATGATTTGCACTCTGGCTTTGGCCCGCAAAAGATCCCTAATGAAAGGTACAAGAGTAGCTTAGAAAAGCTACAAACCAACAATAAAAGAACAGTTTAAATAATAATAATAGCAAGACCAAACATATCCATACACCCTCTAAAGAGGGAGCCAATCAATCCTCTCTGCAGGATGGAGTTCCACAACCTGGGTGCCATAACTGAAAAGGCCCTGACCCACATCCCAAGCAACCTTATTTTCCTTTGGTACTAATAGAAAAGGAATAATTTAGCACTGGGAGCAATTGATCTGAAAACTGCAAAAAGGGAAGAGGTGTTCTTAGCTTAGAACAGTGCTTTTTTCTGGAGGAACGCAGGGGTACGCATATCCCTAAACATTTTGTGAATCTAAATATTGAGAGGCAATATTTCAATATGAGTAGGAAAATGAGAGTACCCCTAAACATTATTTTAAGAAAAAAAGCACTGGGTAAGAAACCAAATTACAGACAAAGGTATTTAAAAGGGCTTCACTTTTCAGGTAAAATCATTTCCCCTGATTACAGACTTTTGACCTGTCAGTCACAACAAAGCTTACTTTCCACCTTCTCCTTATTCTGGGGATTGTTCTCATGACAAGCTTAGAGACATTACTTTTGCTTACATCAGATGCAGCATTTAAAAAATGTTTTTATCACTGAGCCACCACTAAGTGTTTTAGGAGGCCCTGCTTCCTCTCTTGCCACTTTGTAGAGATCCTACTTTGCCCCTGATAAGACTAACTTTTCTCTGACATATCCTGCTTCACCCCACAATTCAGGATTCGGCTGAATCTAGTTCACACCCTTATTAGACAGGCCTTCTTTATATCCTTCTTTAAGAGGTCTCAAGAACCTGCTTTCCATACTTAGACTAAATCAACAGGTACTTCTAATACCTGTTATTACAGGAGACTATTATTTGCCATCTTTCTTCCCTCAATTACACTAAGAATGCCATGCAATGGAACTGCTTGACTAAGTAGGTATACAGTAAGAACAGGTCTACAACACGGACCAACTTTGAGTTCGATGCTACAGCACTTCTATTAACAATATCAAAATGCTTCTGAGTGTCTCATTTAATGCTCAATGTACTTTTATGACTAGGCTTTCCTCAGCAATACTTAATAGTGCCTTGGTTTTTTATACACATATGTACAGTAAATGCTTTCATTCCAGAATCTCGTCTACGTATACAGTCTCATTTTCTTTCAGATCAAGATAATTTTACATTCATATTGCAATAGTCAAAGAGTTTGTGTCATAGCAACTGTCTTGGCATCTTCAGATATTACAGAGTTTCTGCACCAACATCTGTGTGGCTGGCCTCTTCACTCGAAGGACAGGATCTTCCAGTATTGTAACATCTTCCCTATTTTATTGGGAACCACTGCCTAACTATTGATTGCAATCCATTTTGACTTGGTGCACATTTCACAAAATAGCTTAGGTTTAAATCTGTTTGCTGTTGGCTTCCTGTGGGCAACCCCACATCATCGGTTGCCATTCACAGGAGTATAGGAAACCACCTTATACTGAGTTAGACCATTAGTCCACCTACTAAAACTTTGTCTACACTGCCACATTATGGCTCACAGGCTGTTTCAAAAGTAGCTTATTTTATTTGGGGAAATCTACAGTTTGAAACCTTGGGTTAACATTACCCTCCTTTTTGGGAGTAGCACTGATCCCATAGGCTTTTTGTAACACATTTGAAACTCTGGCTCTTTTTCCTGTTCACAGCTCCCAGTTGATATATTTTTGCTGAAGCCAGTTCTGTCTCCACTCCTGGTCTACCCTTGGCTATGATAATCTTGGCATGCATCCCAGTCAACCCCCCCATGTCCTGTTTTGATTCCTCTTTAGCATTGTTGATATCTCTTATTCAGGGCACCTCCATGTTGGGTACTTCTTAACAGGTGATTTCCCCTGAAGCATGCAAAACTATGCATACTTACTTGGGTGAAAGCCCAATTTAACACACTTACTTCTGAGAAATCATGTATCGGGTTGTATTATAAAAGTTTCTTTCTTATTTTATTTTTTTAAAAAACAGTCTTCTGTTTATTTGTTTTGTTCTATACTAATCGCTTGTTATTCCACCTGGGTTAATATTTTTTCCTGTTTCTCAAAACAAATCTTTAAGGAGCTAGGTTTGAAAAAGATTAGGCAAGTTCGTGGAAGACAAATAAATTATTGGCTGCTAAGTACATGAGCCATAAGGGAATGCAACCTTATTTTCACAGCATCTCTAAAGCTTTGGTTAATAGAAAAGAAAAACAGAGTTTGGGATTAGCCGCAAGCAGCTTTGTTTTTTGTCTGCTTTCTATGAAGTCTTCTATAGAGGCCACTATCAAAGACAGGATCCAGATGGAACCCTGCTTTGACCCAATCTGGCAATTCTTAATTGTCTCCTGTTTCTGGAAGTTGATCACTCATTGGCCTTTAAAACCTTTTAGCAACAGTTTTTCATTGTAAATCAAAACTGAGTGAAGAAATCCAATGCCCAAGAAAGTCTACAACCCACACACTATTTCCAGTTTCCTGATGGAATACTGAAGCTATTCTGAAAACCATGTAAAATTGTGAGGTCTTAGTAACTTTTGCTGTGTGTGGTTTTCCCCCCATGTGTAATTAAAAATAAAGTTTTGGGAATTTCTTTCCTAAGGACTGATGCAATTTGGAATGAAAGGGTGTTGGGCCACATACTCAATGAAGTTTCAGAAACCTAACAACAATAGTGAAAATATGGATAGACATAGATACAGTTACAGATACTAGGGATGGGTACATCTGTCCATTTTGGTTTCTCTCAGTGTCTCATCCTTCTATTTTTAAACTCAGTGCAAACTCTTAATGGCAATTTTTATATGTATATTGTACTACTGTTTCATAAGATTTGGTCAATTGGGCTGACAGGGAGAACACTATTATTCATATGCTATATGAGATTTCAGATCTTTGTGGTTTTATTAGGTCTCTGAAGGCGACTGGGTGTGGTTGAAAGAGTTATTAATAGGATGTTTGATCTTAATTGTTTTGCTGGTAGAATATGTTATATGAAGTGGTAAATTGATTGAGATTTTCCTTCAAAACAGTTTTTGGGTACATCACAGGCTTGGTAGTTGATTTCCTCTATCTGGATTGGATTTCCTCATGTGGAAGCACACCCAAAAGCAGAGGCTGTCCACCTGCACGCATTATTTTCCATGCAATTTATATTTCGATGCGCACCTAAATTCACATGGCCAGCCACCTGTTGTCCCAACAAGTCATGTGTTACAACGTCATGATTTAAACTAGATTGAGGTGAAAGAATGGCTCTTCAATGCTTTCAGGCAATGAAGCTACCAGCACAGTATACCAAGGCAGGAAGTATCAGCCTGGTTACCTAGGCAACAAAAATGTGTTCCCTGCCATCCGTCCCTCATGTGCAACAGATTGGGGGAACAAAGGCGTTGAACAGGCATAGAACTCAGAAGGATTGCAAATCTAAGTAAATAAGAGGTGCTATACCCCTCCCTGAACTGTTTTCAAGTGAGATTAGCCTTTTAAGTAATAGAAAATGCCCTTCTTTCAATGCCATGCACCAGGGAGAAGAATCTATCTATTTATTTGTGTGTCTGTCTGTCTCTCTATTGATATATAGATATATATATTCTCTGCTTCTTTGTGATGGATAATGTATTAAGGCACAATGCTTCAGCAATTTGCAGTGAAAGCCATCTAGTGGTTTCCTACTGCATAAAAAATGACCCAGTCAAATATATTCCATATTACTCAATGGCTGACATATTCTTTTACAAAGCAATCCATTTATTACAAGCTAAATTTGGTTTTCTTTACCCTTTGTTCAGCTACGTCCAGGTCTTACATTTTCATGTCAGATTTATTGTGCCATGTAAATATGGAAGTCATCTGCTGGAAACAGACCTCTGTAACAGAAGAGTGATATTAGTATCATGACGTATTTATTTGTGTTCTGTCACATAGGAATGCGAATGATCACACACGGAGTTCGGCTTTTATTATGTAGACCTGTAACGTGGTATTAGAAGCAGTAATGCTACTACCATTTATTTATTTATACATTATATTTCAGGACGAAGTTGCCCTCCTTAGGTCATGCACAAAATTCCATAAGATTCTAATAATAATAACGAAACAAAAACAAAACAAAATGTCCAATTAAAGGCACATTACAGACCCATTAAAACTGGACAGTAGCATTAATTAAGCACAATAATTAATTACAAGAGGAATGAAATTAAAATGTTTAAAGATTTTTCTTATTTTTTCCAAATATTTCCTGGGAGACTAAATTCCATAAGCCCTGGTACTGTTTTCATTGGGAAACAATTGGATAAAGATTTGTGAAGGAAATCTCTGGATATCCTCAGATCCATAGGCGCTATCTGGGGGAGCCCGGGCAGCTGAAGCCCCCTCCAAAAATTCAGGAAGCCCCCCCCCCAAATCTGCAGCAGCCATGTGTGCACGCTGAGCGATATGCTCACCTTAACCACACAGTCTGGGGGCAAGGTGGCACTCACTGCAGTAATTCATATGTCCTGTTCTTAAGCTGATAACACTGTGGGGCACCACAGATATTTTCCATTACTGGATTTACTATGGATCACATGGTACAGCTGAACCAGGTTCCACAAAAAAGGCACCCACAATAAATTACAGAATTACACACACACACACACACACACACACACACACTGCTTTTTTCTGAAAAAAAATGTTTAGGGGTACTCTCATTTTCCTACTCATATTGAAATACTGCCCCTCAATGAGGCCAAACTTAGATCCACAAAATGTTTAGGGGTATGCGTACCCCTGTGTGTCCCCCAGAAAAAAGCACTGTATATGTGTGTGTGTTTGTGTGTATAAAATATTTTATACACACACACACACACACACACAAATAATAACCATGATAATAAAATAATAATAATAGAAAATAGTGATATACAGTTTATTATTGTTTATATTTTGAATTAGATGTATATGGGGGCACCAAAATCTTTTAGGTGCTTAGGGACTCTAAAGGTCTTAATCTGGCCCTGGTGAAAACTATGAGAAAAACATTCAAGAAATATACATGAAGTGGAATTGAAATCTGTTGGAAACATCAGAGCCAAAGCCAATAATTGCATCCTCTTGAAACAGCACATAAAAGTAACAATGTTCATTCAGTTATACAGTGTAAATTCACTTCTCTCCAGAGCCCTTTCAGAATTCTTGTTTTTCCTTCTTGCTTAAGGACTTTCACAGAAGTGAATAATGCTCTTCTCTATCACCTTTTAATTTGAATGGCAACCTCCTCAGCTCTGCTTGGCTGTCACTTCTCTTTCAGTCAATTTGATATGGCTGGACCTTTCCCCCTAGTTAATTACACTAAGATGCATCTAGCAGCAACAAACAACCCTTTTAAAAACTGAGAAGACCCAGAGCACTGAGTACCAACTATACTTCCCCCATTCATCCACTCTAAAGAGGTTTTCTTTTATTATAAAAAAACCACCATTTGACAGTCAAGAGTAATAACAATCAGTAACGTGGGCTTAATGCATACATCTTGACAGTGAAATTATGTGTGACTAGCGGAAAGGATGAGTGCCGTGGTGGTTTGGGAGAACTGGCAGCTTCCTACAGATGGGTTTCTGCCATGAGCCATCAGTGTTCCTCTTTCATTGTCAAATCTATGAAGTAAAGAAAATCATGAAAAAGAAATAGTTTGGGGTATTGTAGATGGATTCATATGAACCCGTGTGATTCATATGGAGCTGTGTGATCTGTTCGTTTGATGTTCAATGCAAGCGAGCAAGTTAGCAACTAAAGGATAGGTATACTGAGGCACCCTTTAGGCCAGTCCTTTCCTGGGAAGCCATAGACTGTGGCTGTTCACACGCTGAGGGGACTGGGGAGAGTAGTTGCCCACCTGAGTTAGACAAAAACTACAACCTAACAGTATTTTCTGAATTTGGTTAATTGTTTCTTTAGTTCTTTAGTTCCAATGGTTGTACGGGACCGCCTCACCTGGTATGCCCTGCGGAGGACGTTAAGGTCCATAAATAGCAACACTCTAGAAGTCCCAGGCCCTAAAGAAGTCAGATTAGCCTCAACCAGGGCCAGGGCATTTTCAACACTGGCTCCGGCCTGGTGGAACGCTCCCTCTCATGAGACCAGGGTCCTGCGGGATCTGATTTCTTTCCACAGGGCCTATAAGACAGAGTTCTTCCACCTGGCCTTTGGCTTGGAATCACCCTGATCCCCTCCTCCTCTTTCCTCTTCCTTCTGTGATGGAACCCCTATTTGGAGACTTCCCTGGCCCACGTAGGACCAGTCTGGATAGTTGGCTTTGGTTTTCTCCCCCCAAACAGTTTTTGATCTGGACCTCCACTGAAATGAGGCTGCATTTTAAGTTGTATTATAATCTTGTTTTTAAGTTGTATTTTATTCAATTGTTTTAATACCTGTTAGCCGCCCTGAGCCTAGTCTTGGTGGGGTATAAATAAAATTAAATAAATAAATAAATAAATAAATAAATAAATAATCACTATGACCTTCCTACCAACAGTTTGCCTTATGAGTCCTCATTGCATGTGCAGGGGCAGCGTCTAGGAACAGCCTTGGGAAGGGGGCCTTCAGTATAGCATCAATATCTGGTACCATCACTAGTCTGTACAGTAGACTTCCCCATGACTCTTCCCACTAGCTGAATATAAGGTCCTACCCCTTTATTCTAGTAAAACAGGAGTGAGAAAAAAGGTGTGGAAATTACCTCATCTCCTGGGGGGAAAGTGATTGCCTAACACTCTGTATCGGACTGAACATTTAAGGATACTTAAACTATTGACTGCAAAGCCACCGGAAGACATTTTTAGAGCAGCCTTCAAGCTTACTTCCCTGCAGACTCTCAGCCACATTGAAGTATCCACCTTCTGGATGTCACAAAAGAAGAAACAAAAAGGACAAAGTCAGCACAAAGGGCCTCTGTCAGATGAATGCCAACCTTCTGAATAGACTGCAAAATGCTAACAGTGTCAGCTTCACGTGAGCTTCCAGGACTCCTGCAAATGTTTAGAGGGGATGGCAAGAGACTGAAGGGAATTTCTAGGAGAAAAGCAATTTCCATTTTGACCGTCTGGTTTTGCAACTGACTACTTTGGTCCCCAAGGCAGATTCTTTTTATAGTCTTAAAAATGCGTCGACTCCACTGCTGGAAGTCTATATAATACCTGCACTTAAGCCTAAGAGGCTTGGATAAGTAAAAGGAAGGGAGGAGAACTCAGGGTTCAGAGAGGGCAACAATGAGGTTTAAAGGGAGTGTTGATGCCCGGGGCTTTGAGATGACAGTAGGGGGGAAAGCAACAGTCACTTCAAACCATATAGAGGGAGAGAGAGAGAAAAAGAGAGAACGCTTCATTCAGGCTAAAAGGTGGATTCAGTGAATGAAGGTCAGTTAGTCATTCTTTACTGCACTTCCCAAAAGCCACAGCAATGTTCAAACACACACACACACACACACACACACACACACACACAGCTACTATACAAACAGAATGTAGGAAATATAAAATATAAAAATGACCTGAACTACTTTACATCGTCTACAATCCGAAAACAACTTAATCTGAAGAAAGTTAAGTTAATGTTATTTACTTTTGAGTATATATGCATAGGGTTATATGCAACTGTACTGTTCTGCTCATGCAGCACACATCTGCTTGTGCAATGGAGTGTCCCATGCTGCAACCCCTAGTATACCCTAAGAATCTACTATAGAGAGTTGGGGGACACTCCAGAGCAAATTTTCGGTGAGCATAGGGCAGGGCCAGTCCAAGACATTTTGGCACCTGAGGGGAACCACAAAATGGTGTCCCTACTGCCTGCCAGGGAAGAAGGGGTGAGTGAAGATTTACATCAGAAAAAGAAGAAGAAGAAGAAGAGTTTGGATTTGATATCCCACCTTTCACTCCTTTTAAGGAGTCTCAAAGCGGCTAACATTCTCCTTTCCCTTCCTCCCCCACAACAAACACTCTGTGAGGTGAGTGGGGCTGAGAGACTTCAGAGAAGTGTGACTGGCCCAAGGTCACCCAGCAGCTGCATGTGGGGGGATAAAGATCTACATTAGGAACGGGGTTTGGGGATAAAGGTATATATTGGGATCTGCTGCCCCTGTAGATCCTGCCACCTGTGGCAGTCGCCTCACCTTGCTTCATGGGTTAGCCAGCCCTGACATGGAGAGAAGAGATGAAGGAAAATTCCACTAGTTGAGCTGAACTCTATGACTACAACCCGTATGAAGGCACTGAAAATAACAATGGACAGGAGTCTCCTAAGCAACCCCATCAGCTGAAGCCTTGAGTAATGATTTCCACTTGCACAACAGGGCTTTCTACCTCTCCTTCCCTGTTTGCCCACCCAACCCCCTGAAATTGGCAGGGTGGCAGTGGTTGGGAGAGCACCCAGAAGAGGGGGTGGAGATGAAATGTTTGCTCAGATGGAATGATTGGAAAAATGTGACAATGAATTCCACCCAATGTTTATTTGCATATGCAAAATCAACCTTTAGTTCCAAAATTAACCTTTAGTAATTTTTGGATCTTTCCCTTCCACCATTTATAAGATTACCATAATTTATAAAACAGAACCAAATAGAAAACAGACAGCATATATCTTGGGACGAAGGGCATGACATTACATGCTTGGAACAATGAGGAAAGAAATTTGTATGAAGGATTGATACTCGTGGCAATCAAACCCATTCTGAGTACAAGCTGGCATGTGGAGAAATGAGGGTAATGTAAACTTTGAAATCCGAGACAGTAAAAATTTCATGGGGACCTCAATTCCCTGTGTGGAACCACTGGAAATCACCACAGTTGCCAATATTAGAGACACATCACAAAAGTATTCCCCCTTTTGTGACAACTAGCCAGTAAATGAGGGCAGGGTGTTTTGTCTTCTCTCTCCACACACCGCTCCCCTGTTAATTGACAACTCTGGCGAGGGGTGTGTGTGTGTGTGTGTGTGTGTCTTTGCTCTGACAATGAATTTTCCAAGAAGCATGTTTAGATCCCACCCTCCCTCTCTGGATCGTGCTTTTCTAAGCCTGGGATGCGTTACCTTAACTAACCACAAAGCTCCTTATCAGTCCTTCAAATTCTTCCTCTAAAAATGTTATTAATGGCTCCATTGAAGGGCTTGGTGAACTGCTGAGCCACCCACTGCTTGTACTGTGCTTATTACTTGATTGTTCTTTCTCTCTTATGTTCTGTCTTGCATTGCCTTGTGTTTTCAAATTTAGATTGTTAATTCCACGAGGCAGAGGGCTGGCTTTTCCTCCCCAAGTGTTTTAAGTGTGTTAAGTAGGTTAAATATCTTTTAGAGGTGATTGCGCAGTGGGGTCCTTGTTTATGATTGATGTTCCTAATAGCAATAATAATCCCTATAGCTAATAATGATAATAATCCATATAGCAGATTGGCATAATTGTGGCTTAAGATAAATCCCGCTCATTTTAATATACAGCAGCCTTAAGTAGTATTCTGTTTGTTGCTTCCCCAGCAATTTCAGGGAGGGAAAGAAACATATAAAGAAGTTCTTTTAGTTTTACCAATCTACATTACTTTTATCTTTTAAAAAACCTTTGTGTGTGTTTATATGTTGTGCTGATCTTTTTGTGTGTTTTAAATAATTGAATGAGCAAATAAGAGAGAGTGCAATTAAGAAATTAAAAATGTAACAGATTGTAATATTCATATTTTCTTATAAATGTTTTAAAATGCAGGAGACACCCTACTTACAAAGCAAATTATGTCTGGGGAAAAAGTGGTTTTTTGCCCTCTGTACTGTTTTTTGTTGTTGTCGACCTGACATACCGTAAATTCCATGACCAACAAAATGTTTTCGAACTGCTCA